GCGCCATGATACTCAACAAGCGCCCTCTCAACCCAAGGTGGCGCATGCCTGTCGATCCACAGCTTATAATCCCGCAAACTCAACGTGTTCCAACACCGGTTCCCAAGCCTGAAAGCCCTCGTAGCGTTGCCCCTCCAGCCACGGTTAACAATTCGCGGCCAAGAAAGGTGAGGCGTAAACAGGCCAAGGCGCCCAGTGACGCAGTCGTGAACGCAAATACCACCCCCGATCAAGCCGGGGCTATCAAGCACCCCGATAATTTGGGAAGATCCCAGGCAAACGGAATGGTTTTGGACGGCCAACAAGGTTGGTCTGATATCCCTCAGTTATTATTGACGTCAAAATGATACAACGATTGCTTAGCATGATTTGTTTTGTTCTCCTATATTCCTAACAAAGTAGCTATGTCGACCAGCGCCCCCAAACAAAACATGCACCAACCAAACGGTCCTTGGCGAGGTCAAGCAGGTCTGTCTCTTCTTAAATAGCTTTGCAACACCAAGTCTGTTCTGATCTACCATGAAACATTTTGGCTTCCAGGCGATACAGCTCACGCCTCGTCGACATCTGAACAATCGCATGCAGTTAACTCGGTACCAACCGGCTCAGGTAATCCAATCGGCCTCAAGATAAAAATTACCAGCAAAAGACTGACAGATCTTTTTGATTCAACACTCATGATAGCCTCCAAGCCCAGCCCGCGCGAAACAGCCCCACATGTGCCCAAACCTCCAAGCAAACTACGCTTGACAATTAAGCCAGCCAATGCTCCACAGAAGCAAACCAATTCTGCTACTCCTGGTCTGATGCAACCTAAGGCTCACGAGGAAGATCGTAATCATGTGCTACCAGCTCCGACCTTTTCATATCTTCCACCACCATCAGCACTCAATCACCCCCATTTGCCTCAACCCTCTCGACCGATGTCATCCTCGTCGTCATCGTCATCACCATCTTCATCTAAACCCATGATGACACGGCTACCATCGATCAACCACTTGGATGTTTTTCATCCGCCCATTTCACATCTGCATCCGCTTCCGGCCGTCTCTTCTATGTCATCACCGATGTACTTGCCGCCAATTGCTTCTGTAGCTCAACCCAGGCGTCAACCGCCAATAGTGACTTTGCCCTCACCCCCACCAGCCCGGGATCTTTCATGTCTGCCCCGACACCCATCCCCGGGTCATATCCCACCAAATCATATGCGCTTCACTGCCCCCCTCTCAACTCCGCCTTCCTTCGACGCTTTTGCCAGAGGGGCAGCGCCGACTGCAGCTAAGAACCCGGTTCGACGTACAGTCCCGCCAGGAACTCATGCCAATCCAGCTGATGGTCCAACACAGTCACACCAACAATCCGCGAACGGCTCACCTCCTACAGCTCCCCGCAAAAACATACTCGCTTAGCTGAAGAAAAATCCTTGGTAGATGAATAGCACTCATATCTTATCAAGCAAGCCTCATAGTGAAAGGCCAATGTCTCAGACTCGTTCTGAGCGTTGTTAGCAAACATATAGCGGTGCTTTGTTTCCGGTGAACTTCAAAAAATTATGTATACCTTAGCTTGCATCTTCATTCGTGATTAGATGTTTTCATTTCATTTCTTAGTTTCTTTTTCTTTTTCTTGCACATCACATGTCATGATTCTTAGAAATATACACTTTTTTGTCAAGTACCAACATATGTATATTGTTGTTTGTTCACTGGACAACAGCGTTATACAATATAAATTCTCAAGTTCAGGTTAGAATGCATCATGCAATCGAGCACTAAACTTCAAAATTCATATGGTATAACTGGTGTCCAAATGGGGCCTAAATCTTTCATGTCCCATATGAATGGATCAGATGTTGAATACATTCTCAAGGTACAGATAACAGCTGGCTGGTCACTAGCACTATTTCCAATCAGATCACCTGTGCAATTTTTGAGTAAGAGATTGGCAGCTGGAATTAGTAATCTGTACTGAACATGTTTTTTGGGGGTGTATGCATAACATATTAATGCACAAGGCTGACTGCAAAACACATTTGAAAGTGGTCAACCAACTCCACACTCTAAAAGCATTTTGGGAGTGTTTTTGGAGTGCACAGTAGTTTCCAAATCTATGTTGAAAGTGATTCTGTCAAGCCACTTGATCATTATGGCTGCCATGATCCCATGAATATAGACTTAGCTTTGTGAATTGAACTTGTGGGGGGGGGGGGGGGGGACTGATCATTTGGATAACCCGCCCGATGCCGATGCTGAGAAGTCGGCCGTACTCTGCCCCGATTCCTCGTCGCATTCCTCCCCAGGGTCAAACGGAGTCGCAGGGGTTTAACATCAGCTTGACCCAATAATCACTTCGTTTCAGAGGGCCGGGAGCACCCCGGCTTGCCAGGGAGGCTCCTTTTTCGTGTGATGACCCAGAGGAGACAGAAGACGCACCTATAAACAACTATGTAGAGGATCCGAGCTGGAATCTGTACCCCTTCCGTGCTGGTGTAAAACCAGGACATGACACTTCGCAGGCTTGCTTTGCACCGGCCTGACAATCCCTCCCATCGAGGGACTGGTATTGAGTATCAGGTTAGGATTTATAACACATTCAGGTGGGTACAACAGAGGTTGTCGATCTGCTTAGTTTTACGCACTGTGATCACATAAAACAAGCTGACCACACTACCAATGATGATGCAGCGCTTCAGATCAGTAATAGCTGTAAGCTGGTGCAGAGACCATAGCTTGGGTACTGATGCTAATGCAATGCCGGACTGAGGCTCTGGCGGAGGAGACTACAGTCTACTCCGCAGTAGAGAGCTACAGCCGAGTAAGACTGTGATCCAGCTCACAACAGCTGGATCATGTTTACCTGCGGGTTTGGGATGGTTTGGATCCTCAACGAGGACTTGTATTTTCACTATCCAAAACAAACCTGACATATATATGTATCCGCAGGTTGAGGTTTGGTGCGCTGTTATCAAAAAGGTGGTGCATGTTTTGCCCGAAAATTGACCCCTCAGAGTGAAGTCTACATACAGCTAACACAGGAAAGCTTGCGGGTTCGCAAGCTTGAAAATTACGACCCAAAAAAATTACGACCTCATGCAGGGTCCTGTACATCTTCCAAAGCTTCTGATTCTTCGGACGTACAGCCAGGCCAGTGGCACCGATTGGACCCAACCGGCCCCTGTGGGGGGAAGCTCTGCTACAGCAGGGCCTCATGGTAGAGGGTTATTGGACTGAACTTTTCACCAGGATTCTGATGGTGCTACTCTCATCACCTGAAAGTGAGTGACAAAAAAGATAGCCGATTTGATTGGAGGTGATCGATACATGCATGTACCTGTATTCTTCTAAACCTTCCAGCTGTTGTCAGTAGATTTTTATTTTTTACTTTTTATTTCTGACTTCGGAGCCCGCAAGCTTTCCTGTGTTAGCTGTATCAGTTGTACAATGTTATCTTTAAAATGACGTGAATACAAATCCTGAAGTTTACATCATTGGTCTCCCCCAAAACATAACTTTCCACCTTCATACTACTGCTTGGTCCATGTTCAGTCTCCACTTCTTA